GGGGGGGGGGGCGCTATTTATCTCCACAACTTCTGAGTTTATTTTTAACCTGAGTGACCCCAGGTGGGCAGGGACTAAGCTGTGACAAATGGCCACCCAGCTTCTTCTCTTTTAGGAGAAAATGTGAAAGTCTATCCCTGGTGCTGTATAATGGTCTATTTTTAGATTGGGCTGCCAGAGATATAAATTGCTATTTTAGTCTGCAGCCTGGTGGTGGGTAGACAAACCCTCATACTGCGCCCTGCATGAGCACTGTTTTACTCCAGCCTCTGCCATCCTGGGGCCTTGCTTTGTTACAGTTCCTAGGAGGGTGTGTGATTTCTAGCTGTTGTTGTGTTTTGGCGTGATGACGTGGCAGGTCCTTGAGTGCTGGGCCACTGTTAAGCATTCTCCCCAGGAGTGTCACTATTTCCTTTTTACTAATAAGGGCTGCACAGCAACTCTCTCATCACTTAGGAAATTAGTAAAATTATTCACAGGCTTATCAGGGGAGGAAAGATTTAGTTCTGTGTGAACGTAGCTTGGATAAACTCCAGAGCTGTTAACTTCATGTTTCTCTTAAGCAGTTTTCAAGCCACCTGGTGAATTCCATCCAATGAGTGTGTATTTACACACGAGTTAGCTAGCTAACCTGTTGGTGGTCCTTCACTCTCCCAAATTCATTCCCCAGTGGATTTTCCTTTTGAACTCTGTTAGGTCAGCAGGGACTGCCATTTTATTTTCATTTATTTGCTCCAAGGATAGTGGCCCCTCTTAATTCAGAGAGAAAGTGCTAGTCTTTTTGTTCATAAACTGGGCACTGTTTAGAATGGCTTAACCATGTGTTTTAGCTTATTTTGGGCCACCTGGCTCTGCCGTTTGGTTCAGCCTGGTACCATTTTTCGGTGTGTTCATTAATAAGGCGTGACTAGTCAGAACCCCTAATGGCAAATAACCAAAGCCATCCTCCCCTCCCCGCAAACTAGCTCAAGCAAGAGGATAATTTATCGTGCAAAGCCTGCTGATGTTTCTTTCACAGGCTCTGAGCATAGGAGGGCAGCGGGGCCCTGATGCAGTGAGACCAGAGTGCTGCCTGGTTCTTTCACCTCCGTTTGCATCTCTGCATCTGGTTCTTTCAGGCAGCTGCTTCTTTTATATTTCTGAGTTTACATCTCCTTTTCCCCAGAGAACGGACAGACTAAACCGGAATCCCTCGTGACACCTGGCACGGGTATGGGTGGGGCTTGGGGGCCCTCACCTACACACTGAAATGGGGGTGCTGTTGGTCTCCCCAGGTTCTTCAGTGGTCGTGCTTGTCACTTTATTGGCAATTGCCACAAAGTTAGCCCCAAGGGAAGTATGGAAAATGGGTACATGCATTTGTGTGTATATTTGAATTTTAGAGCCAACGTATCAGCTACTAGTCATATATTTGGATTTTGAAGCAAACTTTTAATTCGGGAAGGATGCAGGTGAAAGTGTACCTCTTGTTTAGGTGGCCTAGGGGCAGCCATGCATCATTTATTTAAGCTGTCTGGTGTCAGAACAGATAACACAATAGAGAGAAACTAGTTGGGCAAGCTGGCTAATCATGGGATGCAGGATTCAAAGATCTGCACTTATAAAGCCTTCTGAATTTTGAGAGAGGAAGCAGAAACCCTTCAAATGCATTGTAACCCTTTCACTTAATGGCACTTACTGGAACTTGTAAAGTTTAGAAAAGTTCCCTTGGTTTGTTTTCTGTTAAGGGTAAAGATTTGGTTGTGCCTTTTTTTAGTGTGGTGGGTACTGGTTGAAGGGGGTGGAGGTGGTTTCTGTTTGTTTTGGGTTGGTAAGTTTTTCTTCTGAATGAACTGAAAGAATAAGCTAGGGCATTTGCTTTGGGATCATTGCTGTGGGCTCAGTTTACACCTGCTTAGTGGCTTTGGTTCTGTGCCCGTAACTAGGTGTTTCCAGCAGTCGCCTCTCACTTAGAATAGACCACACAACCATTGGCAGGCCACCCACTGCTCTTCACACACTCTGAGCTGTTCTCACATGATGTCTTTTTGCTCCTACAGGTTCATGAACCACCGGGCCCCAGCCAATGGCCGCTACAAACCAACTTGTTACGAACATGCTGCTAACTGTTACACACATGCAGTGAGTAGGCGTCTTCTGCCTTTTCTATCCTTCCCAGAAGGCTTTGCAGGGAGGAAGGGGCAGTTATCTCTAGTAACTTCCACCCTCTAGGCTGGATTTACCCATCTCTGTGACCTTACCCAGGGTATCAGTGCTGGCTCATGTCACCAGAAACTGAGCATGTCCAGTGCTCTGCCTACAGTCACCTCTGTCCATCCTGGACTTGCTTCCTCTGAGAAGAACTTCTTTAAAAAGAATAATAGGAAGTAACTTAGTCATAAGAAAACTATTTATGAAGACTGTCACCTTGGAATGAAATGAATCGCCTTTTCCAGACAGTCAGCTGTGTTCATTTGGCAAGGAGAGCTCACAATTGGTTGAAAAATATGCTTTTTATTACTAAATGATCCCCTGAAACTGGGAGCTACTCCTTTCCTGCCCCCACAGTGGCAATGCTCCTCAATACAAATGCTTTTTCTTATTGTTGAAGAAGCTAATTAGATCTCTAAATTCTTTTTATTTATTTAATATTTTTATTGATTTTTAGAGAAGGAAAAAGAGAGAGGGAGAGACATTGATGTGAGAGCAGAACATTGACTGCCTTCTGCATACCCCCTACCGGGCATCCAGCCCATAACCTAGGCATGTGCCCTAACCTGTAATCAAACCGTCAACCTTTTGGTGCCCTGGACGACACTTAGGCAACTGAGCCAAACTAGCCAGGGCTGATCTCTAAATTCTTAATTTTTTTCTTTCTTGTGAAAGCAAAACATGCTCATTATAAGAAACTTAGAAAGTACTGAAAAATGTATAAGAAAAATAAAACTACCCCAAAATAATAAACACTTTGGTGCATTTCTTCATTTTGTGTGTAGTGTTTGCCACTATGTATTTTCATAGTTTTTCTATTACTGGCATTTTCTTGTGTCATTATAAATTTCCCTTTCTCGTGGTTTCATTATGCCCTTTGTAAGTCACATTTAGTGAGACTTTCAAGGGAAAAACTGGTGGCTGGTATATAGTCTGAAGACAAGAAATAGAAAAGGAAGCCAATTTACTCCTTTAGAGACGTGTGTTTAAAACAGACTATTTTATACAGTGTTAATACAACATGTACGGTCCGTACATATGTCATTAGAATAGAATTTGCTTGAAATTCCTGGGCCCTAAGGAGCAGTACCTATTTCCAGCACTACTGACTACTTCATCTGGCCCTCCTCATGGTCACCCGGGAAAGGCAAATGTTGGTTGTAAAGCGACCTTTCTAAGATGATCCCTGATAGCAGCTCTCTCCATGGAGGCTCTTGTGCCTTTCCCTACGCCCTCCCCTGGGGTGCATTTTCCTTGCCCTCTCCTCTCCTAAGCTCCATGGGCCCCTCTTTGGCCCCTCTAAGTTGTTTCCTGAGCCCGTTTCTTCTACCTCTGTGACTTTCGAAATAAACATTCTCTTATAAAAAAATTATCCCTGATAAACTTACGTATTTTTAACAAAGGTCTGGATTTGGTAAAAACCAGGATATTCCCTTTTTGCCCTCCCCTCAGTTCCTCATCGTGCCAGCCATCGTGGGCAGCGCCCTCCTCCATCGGCTGTCTGACGACTGCTGGGAGAAGATCACAGCATGGATTTATGGAATGGGCCTCTGCGCCCTCTTCATCGTTTCCACAGTATTTCACATTGTGTCATGGAAGAAGAGCCACTTAAGGTACAGCGGATTGCACCCTCTTTCAGAAGATCAGCAAAGTTGACTCAAATGAGTCAATTATGGCATGTTTGGGTCAAATGAAGCAAGAGAGTAGACATTTTCCTGCCTTACAGACTATAAGGCTGTCCCATTACTTAGTGGACAGAGTTTGAGGACTCCCACATGTACCTAGGAACCACCAACAAAACCACTCTGCTTCCCCAGGACTTAACACCTAAAATCCTGAGCCCTACTTGCCAGTGCTGTTAGCACACTAGATACCGTCGGAGCGCGGCCGCTGCAGGGTAGTGACCGAGGGCACTGATCTTGGAGGCAGCAGCTGGCGTCGAGTCCCAGCCCTGCCACTTTAGCCTGGTGTAAGTGACGTGATCTCATGGAGCCCGTTTCTCCATCCTGAAAATGAGGATAATTTTTGCCTTACAGGGTTATTGTGACAGCTGAATGAGACAATGCACGTGAAAGTGAGTTGAAAATTACAAAAGACTGTAGGACTGTGAGATGTGAGGAGGTATAGCACAGCTTGGGTCCACTGTCCTGCGAAGTTCAGTTTCCCAGTTGGGTCCTGTGTATGATCTTTTCAGACACAGTTCACTTATTTTGCTGCTGTCGGGCATTTTTCAAAAATCCTATGGCCCCCAGCCTCTCAATGAGAAGGACATGAAAGCATTCCTCCTGCAAAGGGTTAATTTGGGGGAACACAGAGTGAGCAGCATACCATTTAGTTGCTTATGAAATAGATTCTGCACGACCCAAAGGGCAAAATCTCTTCTCCAGAAAGGAGAATTCAGAGCAGACTTAGAGTGACTTAAAATATTATTAGAATATACCTTTTTGTTTTACAGAATGTCCAAAAATATCTCTAACTGTTCAAACAATCTAATACGAAAAAGACACGCTTTCTTTAAGAGCAGGAGTTGGGATTTCTGACATATTGGTTTCCTCACATGGGAATCATAGAAGTCACAGAGTTTTAGAGCTAGATGGATCCTGAGGGATCATCTAATCCAAACCCATTAATTTTCACCTGGGGAAACTGAGGCTTGGAGACGTGGGTTGACTCGCCTGAGTCAGTGATACCAGCAGAATCTGATCATCCCAAGACCTCTGGCTCCCAGTCCTGAGGTGTTTTTTTTCACCCCATCCTTCACAATATTGCTGATAGTATGCAGTCTGCTACCTTTGCCAGTAAGGTGACAGCTCCCTGGCTTAAAATAAAACCACAGGATTGAATCACAAGGGAGCCGTGGGACACACTCACAGGAGAGCAGCAGGACCTGCCCAGCTCCTCAGGACACACCGACAGAGCCCAGAGGCCAGAGCACTTCATTATCTCCTTGGCACAGTCCAGTGCTTGTGGTTGCTTCAGCCGCCTTGGCTCTGATGTCTAGATTTCTGAATCAATAAAGAGTTGTAGATGCCTATACTTCAGGATTCAGGGCCTCCCTGCCAGGGGCAGGAGAAGACAGTGTAACAGAAGCCAGACTCCCTTGAACCACGAAATAGTGCTGCTACAATCCTAATCCATATGTGAATTTTTGCTCTGCTTTAAAATTTTTTTTAAAAAATATCCTAGTATAGCCTAATTTAAGTAAAAGAGGGCAGGGAATTATCATTTGTCGAGTACCTACTATGTGCTGGGTGCTGTGCTAAACACATGGCTACCTTATTTAATGCTCACACAGACCCGATGATAGAGATGCTATTATTTCTCTTTTACATTTGAGGAGAGTGAGGGTCAGAGAGGCGGGTGGAGGATTTTTGACTTGTAGGTTTCACTTTACCTGCTGTCATGGTACATAACAATCTAGAATATCAATTTTCAACCTATTTCATCTCGTGGCACACATAAACTAATTACTAAAACTCTGCAGCACATCAAGAAATATATTTTTGTCTATTGGACAAAAAATAGGTATAGGTATGATTTTGATTTATGCACAAAAAATAGGTATAGGTATGATTTTGATTTATGCACAAAAAATAGGTATAGGTATGATTTTGTTGGCTGTTGTCATGTTTTTATTTGACAATCTAAGGGGAAAGAGGTCAGTGCTCCTGACTAAATAGTCAGATACTGCATGTTTTAAAAAGTTATGCGGCACACCAGCCGAAAATCTCTGATCTAGAAAGCAAAATTAGAAAGGCCAAACCTGGCTAGGAATCAGTCATCTGGGAGTTAAAAACAAACTAACTCCCTTCTTCCCCCCATCCTCTACCCCATCTCTGGCCCTTTTAAATTAGAATCTTCTGGACTGGAGTCCATGACTATATGTTATAAGCGCCCCACGTGATTCTGAAACATGATTCTGAGAAGCATTAATGTATTGTTTGCCTTTTGAGACCTGTGAGCTCAGTTATTTCCACTTCTTAAGTAACACCCACCATGACTATAACATCCTCAGCCAGCTTTGGTCGCCCCTGCGTGTGTGGCGAGGCAAAATAATACTGGTGCTTCACCAAATCATAGCTCCTACCCCTTGGACACTGAAAATGGGTTCGAGACAATTCTGTTTAGTTCCATTTTGTGAACAGACCTTAGTGAGCCACATCTTTGCATTGCTCCTGACTGTTCTGTTTTGGAAGGAGGAACTAGCATAGAAATCCAGGTGGTTGCCCTCTTAGCAGATGTGCCTTTTAGAAGTTTCTGAATTTCCTTTATTATAACTCATTTTCTACACCAAGATATTTAAGTAAAAGCTTCTCTAGAGACATTCTAAAAAGATATGGAGAATGTGACTTCAGGAGTGTTTGCTGAGCATCACTGCCTCATGCCCTGCACTGTGATGGGGTGGGAGGGATGACCTGCCCTTCAAGAATTTCACTTTTCTGTTAGGTAGGATTTCAAAAACTGGAAAACATCAGAAAAAGACAGATTTTGTTTGTTTGTTTGTTTGTTTGTTTGAACCACTTAAGAGTTCCTGATGATGGTGGGGTCTGTCCCCGCATCTCATTCATAGTGAGTATCTCTTGTATGTGCAGTCTTAAAAATAATACAGAGCTCTTACTTGTGGCTTCTTGTTGTTAAAAATAGCTGCTTGATTTCAAAGGCCAAGCTATAAGTGCCTGGGGAAACAAGTACAGGAGTGGAAATTGCAACATAGTGTAGTGATAGCCCATACTTCCAGCCTGAAAGTGGTCTGTAAACTTTGTCTAACCTGGCTTTCTCGCCCTTTAGGACAGTGGAGCAGTGTTTCCACATGTGCGACAGAATGGTCATCTATTTCTTCATTGCTGCATCTTACGCGCCATGGTGAGATACAGTCTTTGCGTTTTTGAAGATAGTGTTTTTATCATAGAATTCCTCAGTGCTTCTTTCCTCCTTCCTCCTGTCCCTGTGTCTGGCCCCCATGCACATATGCACATACCCAACCGCTCTCCCCCCCAACACACACACACACACGCTTTTTTTTCCTTCCATTTTGACTTTTTGGGTCAGATTGCAGAGTTTAAGGGGATAATGTTGCAGCTGTTCACAACATATATCTGGCATTGGGTTGTTCGAGAAGTGTTGTGCGCATGAGTGTAGGGAGCACCCCCACTTCTGAAGCCTATTGCGTTTGCCTCCCATAGTCTCTCTACCTCTGCTGCTGTGCAGAATGCTTAGACATCAGCTGTTTAAGTGGAAATACTCTAAATATGTATGAGGAAAACAAGCTCGGTTTTGAAATTTATACTGTTTGTCTTCAGTTCACTTCACAGCACAGTAACTACTGTATATGGAGTGCATTTCTCATTTCTTTAGCTGTATGAGTGAGAGAACGAGCTTATTGGCTATTTAAAGCTTATTGGCTATTTAAAATACCTAGTATTCGGGTCAGTTTCCTTGATCTACCCGCCCTTTTGGTATAGAGATCAGATAGAATCTTTTGTTGCTTTGAAAACTGTAACTAAAGAAACATTTGTTTTCCCTATCAAGATGTGGTCCAGTTTTAAACACTCAGACATTCATATTAGGCCATCAACTCCTGCAGCCCTTAGAAACAGCAGCCTCTAGATCCCGACTAATGCCGCATCCATCACACAAGAGAAACCTAATTATCTGTTGGAGGTCAAAGTAAGCGCGCTCTCCCCAGCACCTGTTAGTAAGCTACAGGCTGCATTCTGTTGGAGGGAGACTGCTCAGAGCCTTTGTGAAGTGCACCTCAATTTAAAGTAGGTCAATAAACATTTTAAATGTAGGCTCAGGAACCAAACCTTTACAGCAGACGGCTGTTCATGTGTCGTCTTTGATGTGCAGGTGGTACTTTTTCCATTTGGAAATACTAGTTTTATAGTAATAGCCAAGAACAAGATTGGGTATTTTTCCATAGATCCTTAATATGAAATTCATACAAATGTATTTGCAGCATTTTAACATTCAGGCCTGACAAGAGTCCATGGTACAATTCTAATAAAATGTCTTCTATAATAGATGTTGGGCTGATTCTTCTCATGTTCCCTCTTGGAAGAGAGACTGATAGTGGAGACGCTTGGTCTGCATGCATATTAGGTATCTGCTGTGGTTATGTGATCCCAGTTCAGGGGTTTGGTCAGGGTTCTCATTAATGTAAGTAACCTGCTCTCAAATTCATTGTCAGAAACAGTAAGACAAGCAGAGTTACAGCAGCCTGCCTAATAAGGCAAGCTGGGCCTCGCAGGTGTGCTGGGACTCCTACGTATCTCCTTTTAGCAAGTTCTGTTTTTAAAGCACGTTGGAACTAATTCTGAGTTTTAAGGCTGACTGACAGCTTTATCTTTGCATTATTAACATTGCCCAACCTACCCAAATGCCTCCCTGGGCATTGAGCGCCTTTCCTTCCTGGTTTTATTCCTGTCCCTGCTCTCCTGACTTTAAGGCTAGAGGAAAACATAGCTCTGTGAATTCCCTTCATTGATCACTTCTGTTCTTTGTTGTCATGTTTACATTTTTAGGTTAAATCTCCGTGAACTTGGACCCCTGGCATCTCATATGCGTTGGTTTATCTGGCTCATGGCAGCTGGAGGAACCATTTATGTATTTCTCTACCATGAAAAGTAAGAGCAAATAATTTACATGTGATCGTTTTTAAATTAACTGCCTAAATTTTATCTCTGCCACAATCTATATTTGCACATCGTAATAGTAGAAATACATAAATAGAAAATATATCGTTTTAGACAAATCCTCAGAACCATTTGGTATTCATTGCCAGTAGGCAGATTGCTGTGGAAAGAATTGAGTGGCACGTGTGTGGCATGGTACAGTTGGGGGACAAGGGAGACATTTTAGACTCAGTTGGACCTCATTTCACATCCTCAGAAAGACTGGCCTTATCCTCTGTGATTTACAGTTGTCACATGAGAAAAATAACTCTTTTCAAGGTTCCTATATTGATCGAAGAGAACAGATATTAAGTGCCCAGCACAACACTTACCTAGATAGGAACCTAGAGGATGTTCCTAGGATTCCTCGAGAAGGGTGTTTGGAAGGGCATCTGAACCTTTTATATCCTAACCATGGGGCACAGTTTTTTAACTCACTGTTCATAGCTCCTAGCCCTAAGTGTGAAGCAGTATCAGAAGGAAAGCTTATTGAAATTGAGCATCTTAGCTCTAGAGACCTTCAAGGTCATCATTCCTGTTTCATGCTTAAAAAATGCGAGCATTTAGGATGTACCTAATTAGTGACTCATCTGCAATTGGGACCCAAGTGTCCTAGTTCCTCGTCCAAGGCTCTTCTCATCATTGCACACACCTGAATTTGAGAAGCTCACAACCACGACAGCATTGTCATTGGACATTTTATTAAATTCTCTATTGTGGTTGGCAGAATGGTTCTCAGAACGGAACATCATTTCTGTTTACTACAAAGCATTAAATTGTTTTCCCTTTCAGGAGAAAATGGTCAGTTTTGCTAACTTCCCCCCAACTCTGAAATTCACTTAAATGCTTATTTCACCATAATTAGCAATTCTGAGCAGTATTATGTAGTATATATAAATCTAAGGAAACTGCTTCTTGGACTCAAACCCCTAGTTTATACCGTTGGGTGAAATAGGGAGTCAAGTAAGACAGCTGTCATTTCTCCTATTCCACGCCTCCTAATGTAAACCAGACCTGTGAACCCCTTCCCCAGTTCCCTGATAGGATTCCTTCACAGGGGACCCAGAATATCAAACACTAAGAATGGGATGTGAGTCACTCTTGGCCATTCGGCTTGGCAGGTATTAGGGAGTCCTTACATTGTGCCAGGTACTGTTCTAGGCCCTGCAGTCCAAACACAAAGTCAGCCCCTGCCTTGGAGCAACTTAAGGTCTAGTTTGATTAGGCAGAAACATAAATGAAATTTCAATACAATTTCTTAAGTGTCAGACATTGTGTAGCCTAATGCGATGATGAGTCTTACAAACTGGAGTGTTCTGTGCAGATGCAAAACAGAGAGACAAACAAAAACACGTGCCCTTTGTGGCTACTCTCCCCTCGCCACTGATAAGCTGGGCTCCAAGCGGCATCCCACCCATCTTCATAATTTCAGTTTCCTAGAGCAGTGGATGGGAACGGGAATGGAGGCAGGCACGCTGGGATGAGAGGGGAAAGTGCGTGGCGGGTTGGAGTCAACAGTAACTGCTCTGGTAGAAAACATTTTCCAGGTAGTATACAGTCTGATGCCTTTTTAGTCCTAAAAGAAATGCTGGTTCATTGTCACTCAACTATAGTGTTTCACTTAGAGGTCTCCTCCTGGGAAAATACATTTTATTTGAATAGCTGAGTTTACTGTGTGTGTGTGTGCTTTTTTAAAAGAAAAAACTGATATGGAAATAGGCTAAGTGTTGCAGGGGATTGATACATTAACTGCATTCCATCCTGCAGGTATAAGGTGGTTGAGCTCTTTTTCTATCTCACAATGGGCTTCTCGCCAGCCTTGGTGGTGACGTCAATGGTAAGAAATGTCTTCATCACTTTAGTTGTTTCACCTTATTTCCTTTTAAACCTCTAGGACTCTTAATAGGCCCATAGATATAACATGTAGCTTTTCTCTCTGAAGTTCTATGTTCATTAACTAGAGACTCAAAAGAAAAAATATATATACATTACAAAGTGCCAGGGACTTGTGCTGGCTACTGGCCAGTTTGGAAAAGTTGTACATTTGTGCGTGTTTGTTCCCGTATGATAACCTTCTGTGTCTGTTTCTTTTGAGTAACCTTTCTGTTCACCCACCCTCATCCCTCTCTTCACCCTACTCATGTGTGATGTTGTGGGAAGGTGGGTATTTCTGCTTGAATTACTTAGTGTCTTAACCCCAGATCCATGGAAGAGGGTACATTCTGAGGTTTCTTACAATGAGGAAAATATAAATTACCGACTTCTTAAATCTTAAGGATTGGAAGGACCTTAAGAGGTCGTTTGGTTCAACATTTTATTGGGTATTTCTCAAATCTCCTCACCTTACTTTTCCCTTCACTTGTTGGGTGTTTTTGTTTGTTTGTTTGTTTTTTGCCTTGCCTGAAAATTTCACTTGGGGGTTGGATGGGAAAAGTGTAACATCACCTGCAGTAGGCAGTTGCATGCATACGTTTTGAACTCCCATTGAGAAATCCAAAGTAATCTATGTGTATCTGTCAACCTGAAGCAAAAACATGTCATCACAACCTCAGGATCCAATCCAGCTGGTTACTGTGCCTTTAGCGTCTATACCCAGTGTCTTACTCTCTACATTTCCACATTAGCCACTGTGTTAATTACAGAAGTCACAATGCGTTCAGTTTCAACCTGAGCCTGCCATGGTCAGAACTATACCTCTAATTTCACTCCTGAGCTCATAGGTACACTATTTTTGTTTGTTTGTTTTAATTTTTAGAGAGAGAGGAAGGGACGGAGAGAGGGAGGGGGGAGAGAGAAAGAGAAACACTGATTTGCTATTCCACTTATTTATACATTCATCGGTTGCTTCTTATATGTGCCCTGACAAAGGATCGAACCCACAACCTTGGCATATTGGGACAACTCTCTAACCAACTGAGATACCCAGCCAGGGCCAGGTACATTAGAACAATTCAGTTTTACTATACATAGTTCTTGCTCTGGTCACAAAAATACCTGTAAAAGGTTTAGGAGTTACAGGTTTAAGCTTTTTTCAGAGACTATGTCTTAAGAGAATGTAATAAAACATGCATTTTGAGATTGAGGTTTATGATGGCTTGAACAATTTCCTGGTGCCAAGAATGCATATAATTTACTTGGTCAAGGCAGCAAGAGACTGACAAGGGGAGGGAGGTGAAGGACTGAAGTGAGAGAATCTGTCTTGAAGGCCGTAGAGTTAGAGGGCAATCGAGGACACCCAAAGCAATATAATAAGCAAGGTCTGTGTAAACAGGCCATCGATCGTTAAGAGAAGAGCTTCAAGTAAATTCCCTCTGGGTATCATAAGAGCAGGTTTAGCCAGTATTTTCATTAGCCTAAATCTTTAATTGGTATTTTTACAAGTGGCAAGTAGCAGGTGACTAATGTAGCAAACAGGATAACCCCACGCTTGCCCCCACAGCACTTAGAACCAAGCATGAAATACGTATATCGTGTATTACAGAACTGTATACTTGAAACCTACCTCATTTTATTAACCTATGTCACCCCAGTAGATTTACTTTTAAAAACATTGTAGTTTTCTACAGCATTACGTTTGCCAAAGATTCATTTACTATTTACTATTCATTTACTATTTCATGGTTGGTTTTTCTTTTATTCTTCTCTGTTTTCTCTGTTTCTACATGTTTTCAGGTTAAAGATAAGCAGCTTAGAGTAAACCATTCTGGAAGTAATAAACTTATATAAAGTGGTGCCTCTAGTAAAAATACATATATATTTTTTGAGAGTACATTTATTAAGGCTGAGGGCGGCAAAACACGAAAGGAGTTAGGACAGAAGCAGCAACAGGAGAGCGCCTTTGCTTCACTGAGAGGTCAGAGAAAAGGGGCCTTGGAGATAGGGGGTTAGCCCAGGACAAGCTGCCACTGCCCATTGCTCCCCGGATTCCAAGTCTCATGGGGACCCTAAGAGTTTAGGAGATGCACACCTGAGAGGGCAAAAGGCCTGGGCGTGGGTCCCCAGAGGCAGAGTGTGCTCTAATAAAATTCTATCTCAAAAGAAGAAAAGGCAATTCATATTAAATAAGAAGCTATAATAACGTTTATAATGTTATTTGGGGAAAGCAGAGGCTGCGATGGGAGCACATGTCAGATGTCCTACAGGAAATGTTATTTAAACTGATTCAGAAAGGCAAGTGGGAGCCTGCAGACAGCAGGAGTTATGCAGGTGGTATACGTCAAGGATGCAGCTGGGGCGGGGGGTGCACTAGCATCTTTGAAGAATTGAAAATAGTTCACTGTTTGGAACATGAGTGTGTATGTACTTGTTTGAGTACATATGTGCATGGGGGAATGGGTAATTGTGCAGGTAAATTGTGATAAAGCTGGTGAGCTAGACAAGAGACCAGACCAAAAAGAACCTCAGGCCATCTGAACCAGCAAGGAAACAGTAGGAGTAAAGACGTAAAGACGCAAAGCTTGCATGTGGTCAGAATCAGGAGCCTCAGACTGACCCTTCTGCCATAAAGAACCATAAAACTGGAAAAAGTATATGAAACAACTAGAGTTTGGTATTGGACAGTACGGGACTGTGATCTTTGAGGGAACAGAAACCAAAAGATGAGCTTCGAATTCCCCCGTTTTCTCCCTTGGGACACTTTCCAAACTGCGGCAAAAGAAAGTGGAGCCAGAGAGCAGGGGTCAGAAGGGGAGGAAACAGGAATTGCATTTCAGCTGCTCAGCCGGGTGCAGTTTGGGGCAGGGTCCCGAGGAGGGGGGAGCTGCACAGAGGAGAGTCTCCAGAAACTTAGAAAGGGGTTTCCTTGAGTCCTGGCCTGAATGCTAAGCTGATTGGTACAGGTCAGGACTGGGCATGGCCTGGCCAAGAGCAGCTATTTGAAGGCGGTGGGATAAATGAAGATCCTAGGGGCTCAGTTGGAGTGTCATCCGTGCACCGAAAGGTTGCTGGTTTGATTCCTGATCAGGGCACATACCCGGGTTGTGGGCTTGATCGCAGTGGGGGGCATGCAAGAGGTAGCTGATCAATGTTTTGCTCTCACATCCATGTTTCACTCTCTCCCTCTCTCTTCCTCTCTCTCTAAAAATCAATTTAAAAAATCTTTAAAAGTAAATAAAATGAACTACGGTGTCCGGATGCGATTGCTGTCTGTAGACACACCCTAGATGAGCAGGATGTGCTGCTCTTTACTGTGGGCCTGTAACCTGACTGCCGCGTGATCAGGACATTCAGCCGGAAGGGTGATCCAGGTTGATGCGGGAGAGAATTTACAGATCAGGATTCTGTCTGTGCAGAGCTACGTCACTGTCTAGAGAATCGGGAGGCTTAGGGGGTTTGCAGCGAAACTCATCAGCCTGTCGCGTCAGAGTAACATTGAAACCTTTCCATCTGTTTCCTCCGTTGACAGAACAACACCGATGGGCTTCCCGAACTCGCCTGCGGGGGCCTGATTTACTGCCTGGGCGTTGTGTTCTTCAAGAGTGACGGCATCATCCCCTTTGCCCACGCCATCTGGCACCTGTTCGTGGCCACGGCAGCCGCGGTGCACTACTATGCCATTTGGAAGTATCTCTACCGAAGTCCCACAGACTTCATGCGACATTTGTGACCAGTCTGTGCTCGGTATCCACACCAGTATTCGTTCAGTGACAGCACTTG